ACTTTTTGGTATAAAGGTACTAAGACTATGACTTATTTACTAAGAAAATATTGGATTTTCTGGAAGAACACATTAACATTTATAATAAAAAAGAACATATATTTTCCAACAAAATACTTATGAACTCACCAACTTAAATGTTGACACACTTTTTCAAAACACTTGTATTCTCAGGAAATTTAGTAGACAGGTACTCTCTCGGGCGTTTCGAAGACGGAGCATAGATGTATCTCGTCTTATATTTTGTTATAGTATTAATGTTAAACAAGTAATGTTTTGAACACAATGTAAATACTATGTTATCAATACAATGATTGTTGTTACTTTAATTACTATTATACATTTGTTGTGATACTGTACATGACGTCATCCGCCCCCGAATGTTTCCGCCGTTCCTGTTTGAGGGTGTGACACGGGGCCCGATGTAGTAGGCAAGACCCATGTTATGTGATTATGTGATTATGTGTATGGTATGTGGTAGCTTGGGGAGACTCACTAAGCTTCGTGCTTACAGTTTTCAGTTTTGGTTCAGGTACTTCCCGGTAGCAAGGGGAAGAGCTCGGGATAACTGCAGTGCACACACCATTTGTTTAGCCTGGGATGTTTATACTCTGATATTTGGATATGTGATTTTGATACAGTATTTTGATATGATGTTTTGAGATATTACCACCTATGTTTTTATGAGATGATTTGGGTTACTATGGTTTTATATATAAATTAAAAATGAAATTTTTAGACCGTATTTTGGGACGTTTCACCGTACCACATATAATCAACAAGTATAAGCACAATTCTTAGTGAGTTCCCCAAAATACCATATACAGCACAACATAAAATTGAAAATTATAGATTATCAGCAATCCTGGGGACTATCAGTAGTCCCAATGAGCTAATAGCACGCCCGATGGTTTATCAGCCACCCTGGAGACTATCAGCAGTCCCATTCACATATAATTAGCAATACATAAAGCATCAAGACCTAGCTCGTCATCACAGATACAACTATTCTACCAGACAGGTAAGAATAAGAGAGGACACTCACCTGATAATGATGACAGGAACACCTAGCACTCGAACTGTCGGATCTAGACTCTGCCTAGTCAATAAAGCAATTGACCCTAATTAATAATTAAAGTCAAAAACCTCACTTGCATGTCCAAATCTGACAGCTAAACCTTCTAAGGGAAAACGGAACATTTTGACCTCCTCATGGTCCAAAAACACTAAAACTTGACCAAGTGTCAAAGTCAACGAAAGTCAACACTTGGCGCGTACACTGAGCGTACCATTCCTTGTGTTGGGCGTACAACGAGGTCATCATGCATTAGGGAAGAATCAGGTTACGCTACGTGTAGCCAAGAGTACGCCTAGTGTACTCCATCAGTCTCTAAATCCACTAAGTTGGTGTCTTAATCCTTTAAGACTACCTACCCAACCCTAGATATGACTAATTTGAGACCTCTTAATTATGAAGTCGTTGGCTTAAGCCATTGCATGGCAAGGAAAGGCTCAAAGCATCACTTCATCCATTCTAACCTACTTTACTCATGCATGAGCCAAAGGGGAAGATCAAGCAAGCATTTTTATGAATCTAAGTGTTCTAATATGCATGAAAGGACAACTTAAACCCCTAGGATAGTCCCAAACACATAAAGATCCAAATTTGGGGACTTTTAGCTGATAAATCTTAAACCAAAGAGATCTAGAAGAACACTTGTTAAGGTATAGATTTTATACCTGAAAATGATACACAAAGGTGGGAAGTTCCTGGATCTTCAAGCTTGCTAGTAACTTCTTCTTCTTCTCTAACCTCCTTCCACTACAAGAGCCAAGAACACTCAAAACTTGCAAAAACACACACAAGCCACTCACATGAGATTAGGGTTTATGGGAGGGTTGGAGGCTGATAAGGGTGGCCAGAAATGAGGTCATCTTTTTTCTTAAATAGGGCAGCCCTTAAAATTAGGGTTTAACATTTGGGCTAGTACGCCCAGCGTACCATATGTACGCCCAGCGTACCACATGTACGCCCAACGTACTAGATGGCCATCAGTGTCCATGCATGTTGCATGAGTACGCTGTGCATACTCATATATACGCACCGTGTACAACCACTTTTCCAAGCCTTTTTCTATGATGGACCAAATGTCACACTTTTGATAAATATTCAAGAGATGATAAAATGTACCTTATTTCGGGATGTTACAACATGCTTTTCGAATGCCTCCAATTCTCACAGATGTCAATCCCATGCATGCACTTTCCATCAGTAATATGATACGTATATATGAATGATACAATCAATTATACTATGGCAAGAGGTATATCATCTATCAACAATTAATCAATTATAATGCAACATATCGATTAGTTCATATCTTGTTCTTTTTCTATGCTCCTTAAATTATGCAACCTCAACACCACGAAATCTTATTCTTAACAAACAAACATAACCCATTTCTAAATTCACACCATCATTTTTTCCCCATAAATAGGTATAACAAATTAACCCATCTTTTTACAAATTTCCTAAATGACCACCAAGTTCTAAACTCTAACTTGTTGAGATCATATTTTTCTAAAAAATGGTTTAAAGCTCGGGAATTTTGAGCAAAATAAGTCCTTAATTTATGAGCTTCTCTACGGTGGGCCGGTGGCAAAATTTCTAATATGGTGTCAAAAAAATGTGCAGCATACTTTTAAATTTTCCTAGTTTCGGACATGTGATGTTTATGTTTTATACTTTGAACTTATTGTGAGCATGACGTCCATATTACAATCCTCGTTTTCAATATCTTGAAATGCAGTTTCCACAAGTCTTCAAACAACTTAAAAACCAATTACATTTTGGGTACTAATTTTGAAGTGAAAAACTTATTAAACCGGAAAAATGAAAATAATGTTAGTGTATTCCACATTGGTGCGATACGGTTCAATAAATTTCTATTTATGTTGAGGTTCCCATTCTCTCCTTAAGGGGCTCTTTGGAGAGATAATATTAGCCTCCACATGTATTTACATGATACCAGAGTCAGCGTTCTGCACCCTTGTGACTCAACACATCTATGTCTATCCTCATCGAGCCTCCAACTCCGAGGGGGGGGTGTTACTATATGTATCGCCTGTGTATCAGGCTAAGCATTAGTAAAATGATGTAATAGTTAGGGTCAACAATTCTAATCAATTCTGACGTAATTAAAAGGAATTATTTGAGTATTATGTGAATTATGTGAATTTATGTGCATGAAACTTGTTTATATAGATATAATAAATGAAGAATGAAAATAAGCGTCAAAAATAATGAAGAAACTATGACATGTCGAAATCCGAGTTATAAAGAACGCCGATCTCTATGTTTAGGAATGCATTTTTCTTTGCATACTTTTCCTTGCATACTTTTCCTTGTCTCCTCCCCATCTCTATGTTTAGGAATGCATTTTTCTTTTCTTGGTTTAATTGCCGCTTCAATTTTAGGTCAGTCGTGACAGTTGATGAAGGTGATAAGGTTGCTCGGATGACAAGCATGATAGGAGATTTACAGAGAAACAAGTTAAATACGATAAATACCCAATCTTTTAAAAACCAGTTTAAACAGGCCGGTTGAACCGGGAATCGGGAGCGAGAGCGGTTCAATTACGATCAATTTTATATTAAATTCTTCACAAATCAATCCGGTCGGTTTCTTCAGAAATCGGGTTGAACCGGTGTGATAAACCTGTAAATAACCGTTTTAACCAGTTTATTGGACTTCTATAGATGTATTTTACTTAGCATGTTAAAAACAACTCATTGACGAAAAAAATTGAACTTTCGAAGTGTACACAACTCAAAAGTCGACGCACACCACCGCCATATGTAGGAATATTTTTAGGTGAATCGGCAATCGAACCGGTTGTAACGGAAACCAGTCACCATAGCGGTTCAACTAAAAAAACCGATTTTAAAACATCATAAATACCATATGTCACAAATATATCGCAATAAATATAATAAACAGAGAAATTTCATGAAATAACCATATCTTAAGGGGTGTTTTTTACCTTTTAACCATAAAATTTCAAAATCTGTAAAATGGTAATCAGATTTGCAGAGGGTGCTCCGTTTACCCTTCTGAGGATCTCAACACACCTCTGCAGAAATGAGGTGGCAGCACTAAAGGACAAAAAATTTCGAAGGTTTTTAGGGTTCCGCAGAGGTGGCTCTGAGGATCGCTTAATGGCTCTGAGGATTTGTTCTTGAGCAAAACATAGTGCCAAAATCAACAAGTCTATTTTTTTTTTTATAATTTTTGTTACTTAATAATCCTTTTTGCATATAAAATAAAAAAATAATAATTTCGCAGAGATGAACATCGATCCTCAGAGGGCGCTCTGTGGATCTGTTCTTGAGCAAACACCTCTACGGATCTGTTCTTCGCAGAAACGATATTTCCATGGCAAAAATCGGGCAAAATTTTGGGATTTACTAATCACTAAACTATTATACATTCATACAAACTATCATACACCCTAACAACATATAATTAACTTAGAAAATGGGCAAATAGGTTTTCATACCTAAAAATTTGGCCCTATGTTTTGCTTAAGAACAGATCCTCAGAGCCATTAACCAATCTTCAGAGCCATTAAAAGATCCTGAGAGCACCCTCTGTGGATCTGATGGTCATTTTACAAATTTCAAAGTTTTATGGTTAAAAGATGAAAACACCCTTTAGAGTATGGTTATTTCATAAAATTTCTCTAATAAACACCATATATAACAAATATACCGTCTAAAAATTATAACAAACAAAAATCTGGAAGGATTTGATAAGGAAAATCGAAGATGTTTAAAAAAAAAAAAAAAAAAAAAAAAAAGATAAATAGAGTTGCATTTACATCATTTCTCCTCTTTAATAATAGAGATAATTATATGTCAATAGTTTGTTGCAAGTTCGAATATTTGACTTAACCCTACCAGATAACTAAACATCTATAAATACGGCACATCGTTTGCCGTCTAAGAGTCATCTTATTCAATACCAAAATTTCTTGACATCGTAGGTATCTGTCTTCAACTTCAATGGAATCCTTGTTGTCGAGTTGCTATTCTCTCAAGGATATTCGCCAAATCTCTCCTGAAGTTCAGACTGCTCTGAAGCAGGTTTGTAAACTGTATATTCTGTGGAATCTGGCTGATCTGGCTTAATAGTAAATAAATCATAAATGTGTGGTTTTGGATAAAAATGGTTCTGTGAAATTTTTAGATGATTCTTTTTGTTTAACAATTTTGTTTAGGAAATCTTGAAAGAGTATATCTTCTTTTTCATTCTTTTTCTAACCAATATTTATTAGACGATATATTGTTATTATTATTGTATATTTAATATTCAGACTGCGTTGAGTCTTTCTTGTTTTGATTACTTGGTTTTCAAAGTGCATGTGGATTGTGGAAGTATTTCTGAGTTTTGTATAATGAATAAAAAAAAAAAAAAATCAACGGTCTAATGTTTCTATGCTGTTCGTTTTGTGGTGCTAACATCAAACTCGCTAATTGTGATAAAAAATAATCAAATAAAATATTGCTTACATGGACTTTATACAAGGCATGTGTATATGTATGATAACATATAATTCCTATAATCATGTGATTGCAGGGATATGCGAAAGTATGTTGCTTGTTAATAGCATATGCACTCGGGTTTTATCTCCATATCCTATTGGACAATGGATGTTTTTTCACTGCCTTGGCAACATTTGAATGTATGCTTTGGTTGATCGCCACTCCTCCATGGGAAGAGGTAGTTGTCTAGTTATCTTCTACGTATATACCCAATGATTTCTTGAAATCTTATTAATCTTAATTATTCCTTATATATTCTTCATGGGATTCTTATTCCAGCACAAAAGGTTAATGACATATTACCTATTTAGCATTCTCTACGGAGCCTCCTCTGTTTCTGTAGCCAAATTATTCATAGATTTTGACACGCGGTTTGTTCTTTTCCTTTTATTAATTATTATATATTACTCAACTTACCCCGTTAATGTTTCTTGATGTATATTTCTATTGGTTTTGTAGCATGTGGGTGAGTGAATACATAGGAGCTGCCATCGCATTTGCTTGTTTCTCAGGCGCTGCCATGCTAGAAAGGCGTAGAGAGTTTTTTTATCTTGGAGCTCTTCTTTCCTCTGGTGTTTCAATCTTCTTCTGGTCACATTTTGCTTCAAAAATCTTTGGTGGTGCCACTGCTTATTTCCAATCTGAGGTAAATACGTAACTCCTGATTCATTCTTTTTTACAGTTTCTTTCCATCTTTTTCGACCATTTGTGTTAATTGTCTTTGTTTCAAATTTGCAGATTTATTTTGGGTTAATGGCGGTTGTTGGTTGCATGGTTGTTGCAACTCAGGTGCTCATCCCAAAGACTTGGAGTATGTGAAGCATCCCCTCAAACTTATTTTCTGACTTGAATGCTGTTTTTGCTCCCTCACATTTTATACTGATTTTATTGCTGTTTTTATTAGTATGTGATGCAGTTGAACAATTCGGACGGAAGGGAACAGAGGAAGAATATGAGGACGAGGGGGATTATGAACAAAAGCTGCATTCAACTACAAATAAAAACTCGGTATAATTTATACTTTTGTGTGGTACATGTTTTTTTTTTTTTTAACATCAGTCGTGGATATGTTCTATGTCACTTAGAGACTTAATATGATATCGGGTTTTACAGTGAGCTTTTGTCATAAAAGGTTTTTTTTTGTTTTTTTGGCCTCTTTGATCATCCGGTGTGAAAAGGGTATTTTATATGGGATAATCATAAGAAAAACCAAAATCATAGGGTTTTTATCATAAAGGCCTTTTGGCCAATTGAGATCGTGTTTGGTTTAGCAAATGGTTTGCCAAATTTTTGTATATGGTCAAAAATATTTAACATATACAAAAATATTTAAACAATATAACACCATGAGCATGAGCTTCTATGCTTCTCTAGCTAAGCATGGTCCTTCCCCTTGTCACAGGGCCCTATATATGTGAAATGCCAACACAACAACTATAAAGTAACATATCTCATAAATATTTAATAATATATCCTATTAATAATGAGACATGCATAGATAAGTCATAAGTGATTAACCTATACATGAATGATGTAATGTGGATATCTGCAACTTGCCTCATTTCCCACGTGTCCTCATATTCTGATATTCACCTCGTCTTCTGTTTTTCCTTCCAAATTCTAGTTTTCTGTTCTTCATCTAATCTCCACATAAATCAGCAAACATATTTAAATTCAACTAGAAAGTATACTGGAAGGTAGCGTTTTTTTGATACATCTTCTACGACTTGTTTTGACGTTTGGATTTTATCGGCCTAGATGAAAAATATGTCCACCTTCAGCTGAAAAATAATAGGTTAAACAAAAAAGTGACATAATATGTATCGAACTAAAAAGTAAGCAATAAAGACAACACATATCATTATACAGTAAAAGAAAAGAGAATTACTTCTACATTTATTTTTTTTGCTGAAATTATTTCCCAATTGATTAATGCCAAACACTCTTTCCATACATAAACTATGTCTTTGCTTGTGGTCTATTAACCTGAAGCAAATCTAGAAATTCATTCTTTTTAAGCAACCTACTTGCATATTTCTCATAAAACCAAAATACTTAGAATTCTAACTAATAATAGCAACCTAGTTACACTTCCTTATAAGTCCCATAATATTTAAAAAGAAAATGGGTTTCTATGTACTTATAATTTCTCTCACCTATAATAGCAATTTGCTTAGAGTTTTTAACCATAATAGCACGTACGTACATTTCTTTTCTTTATTTTTAGCCATAATAGTAAGCACTTTCCTATAATGGTTGAAGAGATGTAAGCAAACTGCTATAAGGAGGTACATATTGCGATTATCACTAAAAATGTAAGTACAATGTCGATTATAGGTAAGGAAAACGTAAATAGATTGCTTTTACGGGTATTTATTATAAAGTGAATTGCTTATATTAGTAAAAAGAGTAAAGTAAGTTGTTATTTCCTGCAATTTGCTCTTCAAAAAATATTATAAACCTTTCCAAGTAGAGAATCATAGGTTGGTGGAAAAACGTATTTGGTATAAATGTGATTATCCATTCTCACAAATGGACCTCCAGATGGCAAGTAAGATGTAATTCACCCTGATTTTAAAGAAATGAATAAATAAACAACTTAAGTATTAAATAATTTAGAAACGACTATATGTATGGCGTATCAACAAAAAAAATACGAAAGAAAACCTGGTTCTGGTCTAAAATTTTTGAATGCAACTTCTACATTGCTACGATGTTCAATCAAGAGACCTCTAAGCAGAATATCAACTTGTAATAATAATTGCAAGATTAAATAAACTGTCGATGCATAAAAACTAAATCATAATGGGATTGGAGACCAACTACCTGAACAAATGGATGTGTATTTGCACAAATTCTGTTCAAAAGCATTGTAAACCCACCTACATAAATTCAGAGCTATATTCAAGTTTACCAAGAGTAAAAATTCTATGAAAATGTACCAGTTCTCTCACCTTGATATCTTCATAAACTTGCTTTCTGACCCCGGTGCATGCACTCACCTTTATTGACTGAATCACTTCGGATGCAATGCTACCAGAACCATATTTTGCAACTTCAGTAAGAGATGGCAAAAGAAACTTGTCACAATGCAAATTACTACTTCTGAACCTTCAACAGCTACAAAGAAAAATATACTGAATGATATAATTTATGCCCTTGTCCTGAAACTTTGGTTATAAAGCACAAGTACAATAGAGAGGCACAAGAGCATTCGTGCTATTTTCTACAATTGCTCTCTGACCTACGTCCACCGGTAACTAGGAATTTATATTTCTTGGTGCTAATCTGCACTCTTTCTGTGTTACTCTAGATACAAGTTTTACAAATACAGATGAATCTCTTATATAGAGATGGAAATCAGAAGTAGTCAAAAAACACAACCGGGTCTTCAGCCAACCTTTGAAAAAAGCTTCACATTCAACAATTGTGGCTTCACAACTTCACATTCAACAATTGTGGCTTCACATTCAACAATTATGGCTTCACATTCAACAATCTCCCACTTGAAGTCACGTAACAATCTTCACCTGTGCTTCAACTGTGCATCTGTATTTTAAAAATTTTGATCTTAACTCCTTCCTAGTTACCCTGGCCTTCTCTTCAATTAACCTGAAGGCCAGTTGAAGCTTTCGTTAGCTCCAACACATCAGTCATGGCTAAGTCTGCTACTGACCTGTTCTCTGTCTCCACCGTCTCCCACTGAAATGAACTGCCCGATCCTAGAACATCATGAGAATAAACGATACTCTCCATGTGAAGCAGATAATCTGGAGAGACTTTTACAGATGGAATACTGGTTCTCTTAACCCACTGTGTTCTGGGTATTTTAGCTGAAACAAAGCCCATGCTCCCACTGCTATGAATGCCCTTGACTGGTTTTTCTGAACCGTTCCAAACACGTTCAACCTGAATCTAACCTGTGACTCTGGGTTTGCCATCTGCAAAGCAAACCTTCTTCTGTCCACTAGACTCTATGAACCAGATTTTGTTTTTCTTCTGAACTGGGACGGTTACTCCCTCAGACGGTAAACTGACCATATATAATGAACCCCTCTTATGTCCACGAGCTATCACAAGATTTCCTTTGACAACCTTCCATTGCCCATTCCTGAACTTAACCTCGTGTCCCTGTTCATCCAACTGCCCAAAAGAAATCAACTGTTTCTTCAGACTTGGAATTACCTGGACATCCTTCAAAGTCTATGGACCGACTGGAGTCTTCAGATCTAAGTCACCTATGCTCGTCACATCAAGAACCTCATCGTTCGCCAGTCTTACCTTACCAAAATCCCCTTCTTTCAGATTCCGCAGTGCTTCACGGATGTGGGTAGCGTGAAATGAAGCACCCGAATCCATAACCCAGGAATCCACATTGCTCTCCACACTACATATCAAAACATCATCATCTGAATGGTCTACTGCAACGTTAACTTCTTTCTTGTCTTTTGGACATTGATTCCTGAAATGTCCAACCTCTTACAGTTCCAACAAGTCACATCATTTCGAGTCCTCGACTGACTCCTTCTCCTGTTCCCGCTCCCACTACCTCTGTTATTTCTTCTACCTCTGACCGCATTCAATTGTTCACTTGATGATTCCCCGGAATTTCTTCGTCTGACGTCTTCGCCTAGAATTAAATCCCGAATTCCCTCAAAAGTGAGCTCTTTCGATCCTGCGGAACTAGTAACGGCTGTAACTGTTCCGGACCAACTGTCAGGTAATGTTGATAACAGTAGTAAAGCTTGAACTTCGTCCTCAAATTTTATTCCCACTGACCCAAGTCTGGATAAAATCGAGTTCAAATTGTTGATGTGTACTGTAACTGAACTTCCTTCCCTCATCCTCGTGCTGACTAGTTCCCGAATCAGGAAGACTTTATTTGCTGTCGACGGCTTCTCGTACATATTAGACAATGCCTCCATGATTCCCTTTGCCGAGGTTTCCTTCAAAATGTTGAAGGCAACATCCTTTGACAACGTCAGTCTAATAAATGCCTTGGCCTTCTTATCCAAAGTCTCCCAGTCTGCCTGTGTCATCGCCTCCGGTTTTTCACCTAAAACTACGTCCAAGTCTTTTTGCACGAGCAAATCTTCAATTTGCATCTTCCACCAACCAAAATCTTTCCCATCAAACTTCTCAATCTGAAGTTTACTGCTTTCTGCCATTTTCTGAAAGAACAATGACCTATCTTGCAATTTTCTGGAAATTTAGGGGCCAAATTGCAAATTTTCAAATCTGCTACAGTGTTGCTACAGTGTCTGCTACAGTGTCTGCTGACGTCACCGCTGACGTCGTGCTACAGTGTCGTCTTCTCCGGCAACTGGTTTTCCCGGTCACTATTCCGGCAAACCTTTGACCGGCGATTTGGACGTCTTCCGGTGGTCAAAAAATTCAGAAAAAAATATTTTCGGAATCCTCGGAACGAGACCTTTCCAACGGTATACACCAAAATCGTTTTTGACGAAAAAAAATTTCAACCAAAAACTGAAAATCACCCTCTGGAGCTAAAACCAAAGCTCTGATACCACTTGTTAGGATCGAGACACTTAACACACGACTCTATACACACACACAGCTCACGAAAAACAAGAACACAAGGATGAACACGAGGGATTTAACGTGGTTCGGTCCTTCTCTGACCTACGTCCACCGGTAACTAGGAATTTATATTTTTTGGTGCTAATCTGCACTCTTTCTGTGTTACTCTAGATACAAGTTTTACAAATACAGATGAATCTCTTATATAGAGATGGAAATCAGAAGTAGTCAAAAAACACAACCGGGTCTTCAGCCAACCTTTGAAAAAAGCTTCACATTCAACAATTGTGGCTTCACAACTTCACATTCAACAATTGTGGCTTCACATTCAACAATTGTGGCTTCACATTCAACACATATTTTGCAACTTCAGTAAGAGATGGCAAAAGAAACTTGTCACCATGCAAATTACTACTTCTGAACCTTCAACAGCTACAAAGAAAAATATACTGAATGATATAATTTATGCCCTTGTCCTGAAACTTTGGTTATAAAGCACAAGTACAATAGAGAGGCACAAGAGCATTCGTGCTATTTTCTACAATTAGTTGTGTATGTAGCATAATGACCAATAGTACATGTCACTGATTAGACATATATCAATATCAAGGTGCCTGAAGCTTTTCATTGTATGGATATTCATTGTTTCTGTTATTTATACCATAAGCAGGGTATTATAGTCAAATTTGAAAATTTTGAAGTACGTATTCAACTAAAACTTTGATTAATTACATCAAGAACGGTTGCATTTGTGAAGAATTGCATCAAGAAGCAAAAATACACCAAGTAACAAAAAACTCACCAGGTACCATTAGTGGTTGTAGCAAAAAAATCTGAACACAGAAGAAGAATAGCATCAAGTAGTAAAGATTTCCAGAACACTAAAAATATAGTCATCTTACAACACGGTTAAAAGCTGGTGGAGTACCCACCAACCCCAGAAGTTGCACATACGTTGATATCAACATTAGAGCAACATTGAATACATTTACAAAATTGTGATTACTGGTTTAAGTATGCTATGAAATGTAAACTTAAGCTCCCAAAACACTTTACTTTTAACTTTCCCACAGAAGAGGACACATTTACAATCACTGATGAATTGATGATTGAAGAAGGGGAATTAAATATTGAACCATTCTTTCCGAACTATAGTAGTTTGTTACCGTAAATTCTACACCCATCATATTAGACTGTATCGATATTTTATTCCAATCGATTTAAAAAAAAAAACAAAAAAGATCATGTATGATGTTTTACCTGAGTGAAAATAACATCGAAGAAAAGGGGTTTTTTAGTGACCGAAACTTGAATTCGGAGCAGGTGCTATTGTAGCGTGGAGATTTTAGCATTAAGAGGGTAGGGTTCTCCCATCTAGTGTAGTAGTGTATGTGTGTAATTTGTTTGTTAAAAGGAACGACCATTGGAAAGTTGGAAAACCACAGCCACAAAATTCAGAAAACAGACGATAAGTACAAAACATGTACCGGTGTAGAAGACGACATAATTGGTTGGTCGCTGATGGCGGTGCTAGCTGATCCACTACTACAAGAATAAACACCTATAGGATCCCTATAGGGACGACCTGTCGTCACCGTAGAGTTGACCAAATTTTATTGACTCTTGAAGCTACCGGGACGACTTCTTGTCTCAACATGTTAAGCGGGAAAAGAAAGTGGGTTGGCGCGTTCTTGAAAAACCTGTAGGGACGACTTCTTGTCCCCATACCTTTCTATGCCCAAAAATATATATTTTTTAATATATTTAGTTGGAAAATAAAAAAACGACGTCGTTTGTTTATGGTTATAGTGGCGATAGGTCGTCCCCATAGGTTATGATCTGAGAATCCGCTTCCCCTTAGTCGTCTCCGGTCTCGGACTTCTCTGTAGCTCATCGATTAGTTTGTCTCAGGATCCGTCTCCCCCTTCACCACCGATGTTTAACCTAACCCTTAACACCAGTTCATTAACGCCTCCATCTCCATTTCTCATTCGTTCAAGGCTTTCAGAACTCAAGCAAATCTCCATTTTTCTGTACAGGTTCGTTGAAGCTCATGCGCATCTCCATATTTCTAAGTTTTTTGTTCCTTCGTCACCATCCCTAACTCGTGATTTTCTATGATTTCATAGTTGCTCTCTCAGGATGTGATTTTCTCACATCGATTCGCAAATCTCCATCACCATTTTTCGTTCCCCAGCTTATCTTCTGTGATTCAAAGGTATTTTGTTTTCAGAATTGATAATATGCTACCCTTGCTAATCCTGTACTTTAATTGTTGAAATCTTTTGTTTTACTCAAATCTAGTTGAGAATTTCATACGTTTGCTTAAGAAAATCCATTATTTTCATCCAATTTTGGGATTTTAAGCTGCCTGATTACATTTTTAGGTGTACAGAGATGCATAAACCCAATCAAGAATCAAAAGCTTTTTTGCTGATGTGCAACATGAGTTTTCATGATGTGGATTTGTATGCTACCAATGGTAATGGTGAGTTTTTCAGAAAAAAGATTTAGTGATATTTGTATCCATTTGTGCAGGAAGATCTTGAATTGATGAAGTATTATCATTGGGATTCAAAATGACACATTTAGCCTTTGCTTTTCTCCTTTTTCTCTTTCTTGATGCTTCATAACTTACAATGTTAGCACCATTAGTGAGTTTTGTGTACTCTTCTCCTTTTGTGACCATTTTGCCCTTAACAATATCTAAGTAACTTCCTGTTTTTGAGACCATTTTAGGGTGCTCTTCTCTTTTGTACACTGTACTCTTCATATTTTTTATGGATATTCAAATTGTGATATTATAATTTTGTTCCTTTTTTCATCAATTTCTGTATCTTCTTCTTCTTAGCTCTCATTCTAAACTTGCACCTCACTTTTGAATTTGATTCCCCTTTTTGTGATTTCTCAAATTAGTAGGCTGCATTGATTTCTATTGATTCAAGTTTCAGATAGCATTGCCAGAACTTTTGGTCTTTTAATGTTATTTATAGTATTTATTTATGCATGTCCACTCTGGTAATTAATTAAACTGGAAAGGCATGTAATTGTCCTTTTGTGTGTGATGGTTTTTGGTTCTGGGATTAGCACTTGAACGTTTGATTAGGTTCTAGCATACTTAAACCTTTTGTCTTTTTTAATTTTGCTATTTCTTGCAATTAACTCTTATGGATCCTCAACCTTTTGACTTTTTTACCCTTTAGGTTTGGCCATATGAGGAAGGTGGAGAGTATGGATTTGTTCAAGGGCTTTTTGGATTAATGCACACTCTTTTTTCACGTACTCATCGTTTCTCTCTTCAGCTCAATCAGTAAGTTATAATTTATAATCAAGCATTATTAAATTATTAATTAATTTTCTTCTCTTCATGAAGGATTTCCAGAAACAGAAGAAATCAGAATTGAGTGTGTTGCATGAGCTCTTATCTCTAACTCTGCAAAGGCTATAGGTTGCACGGTAGTCAATGTTGGTAGCCAGGATCTAGTTGAAGGAAGAGTAAGCTTTTTTTTTACTTTTTTTTTCTTTTTTTTTTCTTTTTTTCAAGTTACAACAACAATAATCACTTTAACTCGTAGTTGATGCTTTTAGCTTAGGTTGTCTGACTTTTTCTTCCTCAATTTTGCAGCCTCATTTTGTACTTGGCCTAATTTCTCAAATCAATTTTGCAGCCTCATTTGGTACTTGGCCTAATTAGTTAGGTGGTTTTTCTTTTGTCTAATAAATACAAATCAAAAGTTAACGATTTAATTTAACCAATCATGAAAAAACAATATGAGTTATCATAAACAGAATGATGGTTGCACCTGCAGATACAACTCCTGGCTGATCTCAACCTTAGAAAGACACCTCAACTTCTGGAATTGCAGATACAATATGAGGTAATTCTTGATCCTTGTTTTTTATTTTTGGATTAATGAGAATCTTCAGCATGTGTTTATATGTATGGTGTTTTATTTATAGGATGTTGAGGAGCTCATAACATTATCACCTGAGAAAATCTTATTGAAATGGATGAACTTTCATCTTAAGAAAGCAGGCTACACAAAAACTGTAACAAATTTCTCTACAAATATAAAGGTAACCGCCACTACCGGATTTTTTCATTTAGGATCTTTTTGTAAGTAGATGGTTGTCTCTCTCTCACGTAGTTGAAATTACCTATTTGCCCTTTTTCACTTTTGATGGGAAAATTAGAGTGTGATTTATAACAGGTGAGCACCTACGCGTTGCTGGTTGAAGATGTACTTGAAGTTGTATCCGATACAGTTGTGGTGCATGAAGCTGCAGCCTCACGCATACAACGCCTAACTAAGGTAAATATAATACAACCTTTTCTGTTTAACAAACGGGATCTTACAGTCATGTTCTTTTATGTTCTGTCCTTTCCTCTTTAACAAAATGGGGTCTTACAGTTTGTCGAATTTGAATCATTTTATAGCAAACCATGGTGTTTTTCCATAATTTGAGATTTTTAAAATTTAAAATCTTGATGAATTCCGGGGTTTTGGGGTGGCCAGAGAGTGGGGTACTGAATGGAAGATCTTGATGATTACTCAGATTTCGAAGGGCAATCTGAATACCGAAAGGACAAGAGAAGAAGGTCTAGTGGTCAAACCCAAAAACCCAAGAAAAAAAGTAGCTTTAAGGGCATACCTATAGAGACGACATGTTGTCTCTATAGATGCATCAACCACGACGTCATGTTGTCGCTTTATGGTAAGTGTTGACTCTATATATATGTACCTATGGAGACAAAAAGTTGTCTCTATAGCTATACCTATGGAGACGACATGTTGTTTTTATAGATGAATCTATAGAGACGACTTGTCTTCTCTACAAATTCATCAAAGGAGACCAAAAACTTATAGCGACGAACCAGAATAGAACGACAGATCGTCTCCAAAGGCTACCAATTGCGACGATTTTTTTAGCGACGACAATAAAGATCTATTGCGACGGGGCTATGGTGACGAGAGCTATAGGGACGACATGTCATCCCGGACACCTATAGGGACGACTTTTGGAACCTATAGAGACGACAATTGTCGTCCCTATAGGTCCCGTTTCTTGTAGTGTGAACAGAACCGCCAACTCAATCGTCGTCCTCGCCTACCACCTCATGCTGTCTTCAACAATAGTGACACCACTTTTCCCTCATACATCCTCTATGTCCCTATCTTCGATGGCGAAACAGTAAAGGACCCGGTTTATTATACTATCGGTGTGCATAACAAAGCAAACAAAGGTGGATTGCAGAGACAGAGAGGGGGGGGGGGGGGGAAGAGTCGATGACGGTGGATAGAGAAAAAAGAAATCGGACTGGTAGGGATATTTTGAAGCAGTCAAAGGTCGGAGGGATCTCCTGACTGTAATTGATGCTCCCTTTGTGTTTGGATGGAGGAGGGAGGAAGGGTAGAAGAAGATTCGAGGAGGGCTTAGTCGGTGGATCGGTTGACCTAACCTGAGTAAAATAACTCGATGAACAGTACCGGGTACTGTTCATAAGGGACCTCTTTCTCTATATATATATATATATATATATATATATATATATATATATATATATATATATATATATATATATATATATAATGGAAAGAAATAATCATATCCAAATTTAAAAATTGTGTTTATATTAATTAGAAAACCCTTTATACTTAAGTTACTTTTCATTTGTACGCAAACATCCAATTTATAAAGAGGTTACCGTTTTGTGACAGGACATTTATCTTGTTCCTTTGTAGGTTGACATGGAAAAAAATAAGCGATGTTACTTATTTCCTTGAGTAAATAGTCGTTGAGTAGATGATCTATCTCTCACATTTTACCTAAGACAAAAGGCAACGCCACTTATGTTTACTTATAGTATTTTGACAACTTTTTTAAAATTGAAAACTTGATTCCTAATAATAAATGAACATTAATCCTATTAAATGAATTTTAATTTAGATAAATATCAATTCCATATAAGGACATAATAGCGATCACACTTGTTGTCAAACAAGTACAAAAAAGGTTACAAATCCTACAATATATGTCTACACAGATGCAAGTCAAGACAAAATCATGGGCAATATCTCAATATATATCGCACTAGGTTATAAATTGCATGGTATACGGTTAACAAAGTAAAATAACATATATACTATGCAACCTGTAGGTGTTGTGAACGATGTGTTCACCGGTGTACTCTAAAAACCCATTGACATGTATTGCGAGTGGACTCTCGAAAACGATACTGTCAATAAACGAGATAAACCCTGGCGACTATGCAGACTTAGTGCCCATTGTATAAACCCTGGCGACTATGCAGACTTAGTGCCTAAACCCTGGCGACTATGCAAACTTAGTGCCTAAACCCTGGCGACTATGCAGACTTAGTGCCCGTTGTGTGAACCCTGGCGACTATGCAGACTTAGTGCCTAAACCCTAGCGACTATGCAGACTTAGTGCCTAAACCCTAGCAATGATGGAGTTCGTGCCTATTCCTTAGGATAATCCTTAGGAATGAATTGACGAGAAATAATTGGGTTGAAAACCCTATGTACTCACCATGTTTCCCAACCTAACCCACTCAATTCATTTGCATCACATGTGTCGATATGAAGTTACAATACACTGAGAGATTAAGGAGATATAAATCACTAGTGATAATGATTGTAAGTTCTGTTTATGCTTATGTTTCTGTATTGACGATGACATCCCAATGTTTTAAAATGAATAAAATGCGTTTCTTCGGAAATGCTTTGATAACGTATTTATCATGTTTTTCTGGGAACAAATTCCGCAACACTTTTCTTTAAAAGGTTACTCTGATTTTCAAAATAAAGCATAAACAAATCGGTCTTTTCTGGTCGTGAAAATGGGGATGTCAAAGTTGGTATCAGAGCATTAGTTTAAGAGAACAAGGAATAATGATTTATTTCTAGACTTAAACTTAGAATGTTAAGCGATGATCATGAGGAGTGTGTCTAATATATTTTAGGTAGCACACCTGAATAGACACAAGCACTAGCTTAATTAGGAAAGATGCCTAAAATGCTTTTATGTGCTAAATGATTTATGATATGCATTATAGGATCGTATCCATGGTCTGTTGCCGACCGGATCTGGAAACTTTACGTGTTCAGATTTCTAAACGTTTAATTATGGTATTAGAACTGGCATTTAAATTTTCAGAGTAATAAGGAGGATTACACGTCTAAATCTTCTCTATCTATATTCTCGTCTTGATGCACTAAACGCATGCTTTCGTGAACAAAGCATCATGGTGAAGAGTCGTAGAGAATTGAGTAAATGGAGGAAATGAAAAGGCTTATGATAGTGAATGACACCTATCAGAAGATATCGTAAGAGTGGTATATTGCCTTTATAATATGTATCATAAGGTAACAGTACATTCAGAGGAGTATGGTACGTCTGAAGTACACCTTCGATTGGCGGGATGATGGAACGATTGGTGTAATTCCTGAAGTTGTCCCATCGTATGGCGTTTCCACCACCAACCGAGTTGAAGCAGAATTGATGATTGAAGATACGCATGGAAGAAGTCCTAGTAGGGTCTAGGGAAAATTATATGATTATTTGGACACATTTGTATGTGTTAAAATTGTTTTTGTGACAATAACTTGGAGAACTGCGAGACAATACGTGAGACGAGTAAGACTAGGTGTGAATGGTAGTAGAGGCCTATACTATCGGAAGCACGAGACTCATGCTCAAATCAGGGAAAGTCACAAGGTTACCAAGAAGCTAGTAATTGATTTTGTTTTGTTCATGTCTGTCATTACCATCGTTTTGGTAATGACTAAGAAGATGATTGTTATTCTGACCCAAGTTGTCAAAACAAATTGAGTCCGACTAAGATGAGTATGTTACGTGGTTCAAAGAACCAAGATTGATGTAGCATCTGAATTAAGCCAGAGGATTGATGTGAAGCGATCAATTGAAGTATCGCAACCGTTGTTAAGGTAAGAAGCTTGTAGCTAGAAGTGCTACATACTAGAATGTGATTCTATCACATTAGAACATGAAGGAAGGTGTCTTCCATTCTGGAATCTGACTCAAAAAGACCTGAGTCTAAAGCATTTCATCATACAATGAGAGGTCATAGGAAAATGACCCATCGGTATGATACGATAATCGAAGGAAAAAACCTATCTTAATTTAAGTTTGTTAAGAAGGATCAGGAGTCTCCAATAAGGATCGAATTTGTAACTCGAAGGTTACGATTGAAAGTCCAACATAGTATGAAGAGCAGGTGCAAGATTGAGCATCGTCTGCAGTCAAGAAGACCAAGAATTAGATACCCATTCGAAGGACCATAGAAGTTATGATTATTACCTAGGATGAAGAAATAATGTACGGAGTCATTATACAACCATGTTTCGTTGATGATTTCGGGACGTAATCATCCTAGGGGGGAGATCATTGTAACGCCCGCAGATTCGGGCTAGTCAATTTAGACACCATGAGCATCAAAAATGAGTTTTTATGGAAGATTATTTAGAAGAAGTAATCTTAAACAAGTTGTAGAATATGTCACAATGGTTCCGTACATATAAAGAACGCCGAAATTCGAGTTATAACGAAGAAGTTATGGCTCGTCGAAGTTTCGCGACAAAACCGGCACGACGCTGTGCGACGTAAGTAGTGAATTTACGATAGAGGACTTTTTAGCCTTAGCAATCTAAACAAAAGTTGTAGTATACGTTAAACCGAGAGCGTGCATAAAAAGAACGCCCAAATCTGACTTCGTATGCGGAAGTTTTAATTTTTCTAAGATTTGACATAGCAGTGCACAGCCCGGAATTCGAATTTTAGATCGAGCGGTTTTTGGCCAACGAGACCTAAATGAGAAATGAAGATCTCATTAATAGGGACTCAACGATAAAAAGACAGATGAAAACAGAGTCCGTATGTAGAAGTTATGAATTTTACGCAGTCATTTAATAGTATAATCTTCTCATACTGTTAATTTTAGAATCGGTCGAGAATTAGCCGATGCAGTCAAAAGTAAAGTTGTAGATATTGTCATAAACTACGCGTGGATATAAAGAACGTCAAAAAAGGAGCTCGTATGCGAAAGTTATGAATTTTCAAAAATTGACTGTTTTACCTGTTTTGTTCGACGCCACGTGTCGACATCACACTTTGCCTTGGAGCCTAAGCAAGCTCACGACGTGAGCACTAAAAACTCACGACATGAGAGGGCTCCTGGCAGCCTATAAATAGAAATGTGATCCCTCTTCATTCCTCACACCTTACCCATTCTTTCTTCACTCTATACACTCTCTAATACCCCCTAAAACCCCCAAAAAGCCTAGGGAACCCCCTAGTACGAGAAGGAAGCCCCGAAGCTCCCGACGACTCCGAGAAGAAGAACTTTCGGCTCAAAAGATATGCCCGCGCAGAGCCCGGTTCTTCGCTAAACTCCAATATAAGTGAGTTATGCCTACCCTACTTT